GTTCAGCAGATGAGGTGTGAAGGAAAACAAGATCAAGTATTTGCCACTCTTCTGAGAGGGAAGGGGTTTGAAGGAGAGATGCTGAAGGTATTGGATGTTGCTTGCATGTGTGTCAGCCACAATCCTTTCAAGAGACCAATCATCAGAGAGGTTGTTGAATGGCTGAAGAATGTAGGATCAGACAGCCAGCCAACACAGAAATAAAGACTGGAGGGAAATGTTTATCCCTCAACAAATCTTCACACATGTATACTTGTGCAAATTTTTTTTTTTGTTTTCTATAAATACAGATTATCATTTTTACCACTGTAAATGTTGACTTCCCTTGTCAGAACATTATTGCTAGAAAGATTTTGTGAATTATATTATGTGATCATCCATTTTGAACTGCAGAACTTTCTATTGTTCAACAGTTATTAATCTTTCTGATGATAAGTATAGTATCCTAAACAATGCAAGCCTATGCTAATATGTTTTTATTATTCTTGCTTTACTTCTCAATCTTAATACTGCACTGTACAAACTTACTGATTCTAATTATTACTATTATCTTTTACATTACTAAATGCCGGCCCTTTTTATCAGGACAGAATATGCAGGGTTTAAGTTCAAAAGGGGAAAATATGCTAGTTGCTAACTTTTCTTATATAATAATACCTCACTCCATCCCGCACTAGTACTGTTTATTTTATTCTTCTTGACAAATTATATTCCTAGACACTACATAGTTCAAGGGCAATTGAACTACTTGGTAACTGATTTAACAAATTCCACTCTCTAACTTCACATTCCCGTATATACAACTATACAAGACAAGACTGCTTTTGCATGCTTTAAATGAGATAGTTGATTCTAGGTAATTAAGTGTTAATAAAATGAAACTTTTGAGAATACATACTTGTACTGGAACATGACAACTGACATATCAAATTGAAAGCCAATTTCACATTCCTAATGGTTTTACTTTTGTTACTAAAGAAATGCCACAAAGGAATTTGCCATCAAAAGATACATGGAATAACTTCAGTTCACAAATCACATGTCATGCCATTTGTTCTGTAAATCAGTAATGAAATGGATAACTAAAACAAGTAACATTAACAGTTTATGCACCCTCTGCCTTCACGTCCATCAGTGGTCTTGGTTTAGTGCATATACCTGTGTGATAACATGACACTAGGAAAGAAAACCAACCATTCATATATATTTTTGGTGTACAATTGTTATCTAAAGGAGATGTAATTGTGCTTGAGCAATCAAACTATGTTCTACCAGAAGAGGAACTGTTAACTTCATGATTTGACAATTTGTGCTTAAAAAATAAATGTCACTATTGAATTTGTACACTGAAGATGACACGCTTTAAGGTTGACAGTTGTTCACTGTTAGATTCCTCGAGTTAATTCGAAATTAGATGCTTCAGGACAAAATCTGAGGCTAAAAACCAAAAGAAGAAGTGCACGCAATCACTGAAGAGATGAATGGCCCAAAGGTAGCAAAATCAACAACTTGATACACTCCATTATTTAATATTTACTGGATATGTATGTATTGTTTAGAGGGATGTGATATATACTCAACAGAGGAACATGTTGGAAGGTTATTGGAGATGTAACATCAATGTACATTGCTCATGATTATTGGTTGACTCTATATCCATCTTTTTGGCTGTTTCCGGTAGAAACTAGAAAGTCCTTCTTGCCCATTAAACGTGATGTTCATTTTCAGTGGTGGGGCTGTGAACACATAATGGCTGGGCATGATATTTGAAATTAACCATTTATTCACCGAGTGCAGAATCAAACAATAAAATAACCCTAAGTGCATCAAATCATATCCAGAAGGAGGATTGAATAGGAATAGCAGAACATAGTGGCTTAGCTACTATTCCATCTTTCAAATGTCAACAGAAACCAACCTCAAGCAAGCTTCTCCTGATAAGTACGGTAACTGGAATTTGGTTTACAATCATTAACAGGAACATCAGAGATTGATTTCAATAATTTCGTTATTTATCGTACACATACCTAATTACAATCTCAAAAGTTGAATAGTTAACATTCAAATTAGGAATCATGTATTAAAACTTGGAATGGGGATGTTTGATAAGAGAAAAGTTTCTTCCAGATTTATGAGAATTACAAATCTTATTAATCATAATTATTTGAAATAATTAAAATATGTTTGGTTATTCGTAAAGTTTATGAGAATATTCATGAATTTTTAAAAATTAAAGTTTTTCATGTTTGATTACATTATTATATTTTTAGAAATATAAGTATTTTTTAAAAATATTCTTTATTAAAATAAATTTATTAGATATGTTTATTTATTCAAATCTTTTTATAAATATGATATTAATCTATTTTTAAAAAGTTAAAAACTTATAGTTAAAATTATTTAAATACAGAATTTAACAAATAAATAAATAAAGAAAAATGAAGGATAAAAAAATATATTTCATTTTATTTAAATAAATTAAAAATGTTAACAAATACCATTAAACTACATAAACAAAAAACTTTAATAATATTATTAAAATTAGCAAGATAAAAAAATAATGAAATAAAGAAAGAAAGAAAAATAAAGATATAGGAGGGGGAAAAAGTGAAAGAGAAAGATAAATAAAAATAAAAAGAGATAGGAAGAAATAGAGAAATGAGGAGGGAGGGAGAGGGAGAGAGGAAGAGAGGGGGAGTGAGATTTTGAGAGAGATAGAGCGTGTGTTTGGTGTTGCGTTTTAAGAATTGATTTATCAAAATCAATTTTCTAAACGTAGAAGCTATTTTTATCAGCTTCAGGCAAAATTGATTTTCACCCTTGAAATTGTGTAAAGAAGAAAAAACCAAACATCTATTCAAAGAGAGGAATCACGTTTTTTGAAGAAAATACGTGCGTTAGCATGATGCAACGCGCATCCAAACACGCTGAGAGAGAGGAAGAAAGAGAAATAAAAAAAAAGACAGAAAGAGAAATTGTATATTTTAGAAAAGGATACTAATTTTTAGAAAGATAAAGATTCATAAAGAGAAAGAGAAATAAAAAGAAAGATAAAAAGAAAAATTGTATGTTTTACAAAAAGAAAATACTATGATTTTATATATATATATTAAACTTTTCCTTTAATTTGAGAAAGTTAGATTCTTATCTTCTCATAATAATATTTTTTATGAAAAAATAAGATGAAAATAATTTTTTAAAAATTATATTCATCAATATTTTTTAAATAACTACTAAACATACAAAATTAAGATTTCTATTTTAAGGTTTTTAGGAATATAAAAATTCCAGGCTCTCTAAAAATATCCCAAATACATTATTCCTCCTCTCTTTTTTACTTTTACTAAAAAAGATATTGTAACAAAGTATTTATTACATGTGACTAATTCTTTTTGAGAATCATAATTATATATAAACTTAATATATATGATAATAGCTCACTTTGAATGTGGATAATTCTTACAATAGAATTAACTTAATATATTTAATAATATGTCACTTTGAATGTCGATAACTCTTACAATGGAATTGGATTTAACATGTTTGACAAGTGATATTTGTATAAGACAAATACACAGCTTTTTTATACCTGATAATATTTTACAAAATTTCTAAAATGAGTATATTTGAAAAAAAATAAAAAGTTAGATTAGTTGTGTTTGAGGAATAAAATATTTAAGAGGAAACTTGTATTTTAAAATGAGACTTGTGATTTAATATATATTTTTAATTTGAATTAATAGTAATTGTATGATACGGGCATTTATATTTATATATTTTTTATTTTAAACTATTTTTTTCTAATATGTAGAAATAAGATTTAAACTTAACAACTTAAGATTATTAGATCGAATTTTTATTTAATTTTAAATGAAAATCTTGTTTTCAACATACGACATTTATTTTAATAAAATTTTGATTTACAAATCTTTATTTTTTTTATTTATAGAATTTACAAAATTTGATTAACAACACGAGTTTTAATTTTATTTTTGAAGTGGTTTTATAGTAAGTGTAATTTAGCTGGAGTGTTGATTGCTGGTTCTCAGAACAAGTTGTTTGACTAAAACATAAAACTCTCACAAAAATAATGCGTTGATCCATCGATCGAGGCGGTAGCGTAATTTGATTGTGTAGTTTGCGATGAGTGAAGCCACGAAGCATTGATTTGATTGTATAGGTGAAGAGATGAAGCAACACGAGTTAACTCTGTTACTGTGCCTCATTTGGGCACTAACCCTTCTCTACGGTGAGATGTTTGCTTATTGGCTTCCACCCATCTTCACTTGTTCCTGGCCCCATCTTCTCCACTCCTCTTCTTCTTCAACGGTAACTATAAAGTCTTCATCTTTTCACTATTTTCGTTTCTGGGTCACACTCAATATTTTGCATTCATAACACTAAAACCAAAAATGTCTCGTTTATTTGGATGCTGCTTATGGGGTGGGGAGTTCATGAACAATGAAGCTGTATCTTAAATAAGAAAGAAATTTTTTTTGGTTCTGTGAATTATGAAATTTAAGGTAGTCTGCTAGTTGGTATATTCAAATGTAAAGTTTTTGGTTTTTACATGTAATGAATGATTCCAACAAGGAATGTGGGGAGGGTATATGCTGGATGGATCTAAAAAATTTATTTTTGTTTTCTTGGAAAATATTGGTGGGGTTTTGGTGAATGTTGAAGAGTTTGAATGTTTGATGATTCCTGGTTGTTGAAGCTGAAAAGGGGAATGGAACCTAGCCCAACCCAGCATGATTGTTTCTTTTACAGCATATTTAAAAATGTGTCTACATTACAATTACAATTTCATATACTAAACACAATAAAATGCATAACTTACTAACTGACCTGGTTTTGTGATTTTTGCTTGCAGACTCAAACAGACAATGGGAATTATCAAGCTGATTATGTAAAAGTTGCTGTTATTGCAGATCCACAGGTTAATATTTCTTTTCTTATGGTCATATGCATACATGTTTGTGAAAAATATACCAGCATTGCATATGCCTGTTTAGTGTTTATGCACTTCTTAATGTATGTTTCTTTGGATATGCATCTCTCTCATCATTTAATATGATTTTTTTTTTAACATAACAGCTCATGGATAAAACTTCCCTCGGTCTTCCTGCAAAATCTCTTGCACTGGAACTTGCAGAATTCTACACTGATTTAAACATGCGTAGATCATTCTTTTCATCTATCCTACCTTTCAAACCCGAGGTCATATTGTTTTTAGGGGATTACTTCGATGGAGGTCCTTATTTATCAGATGAAGAGTAAGTCCTAAAAATAAATATTTCTATTTGCTAATTTCGCTCTGTACAAGTTTATAGTATAATTTTTTCCTATTAGCCTTTTCCTTCTAGGTTGATTTGGAACTCAATATAAACCTTTTACTTCAAAAAACAACATGACCAAAGAACTGGTGACATTTTATGGTTTGGACATCAATTCTTCTTTATTTTTATTTGGTTCTAAGGAAGAATTTTTTGGACAAAAAAGATAAAAAAAACGAATAGAGATATTTCCAGTTTCTCTTTATTTATTTTTTTTGGAAACCATTTTATTGATGTGAAGTATCTATCAACTTTGTCAATAATTAATCTCGTCAAAGAACCAGATTGGCCACTTTTAGTGGGGTCTTCAGTTCCTCTTTATGTTTTACAAAGAAGTCCCCCTGAACAAATGATTAGACAAGCACCACAGTCCACATAGAATCCTACTGAAAATTTTTGGATTAGTCTCTGGTCAAACTGTTGAAGACTTGAGTGGAATACTGAAATCAAATCATCAAATGATTCTTTGGTGCTTAATGTTAAGTTTTAACCCTTTTGTTTTCTGAATTATTTCTTTTTTTCTTCGAAAAGCCGACAAATGCAATGTATTATAATTATAATTTCTTTCCCAAAGATTGCCACAAGGTGTAATCAATCCAAGAAAAGAATGATAAGAACAATAAGTTTTGGGATTTACAAATATTCAAGAATATGTACCCAAGCCCCACCTCAAACAACAACTTAATAAATTTTCCGCCACATCAATTTACAAACAGCAATAACATGGTCATATCACTATATCAGTACTGGATTACAAAAAATTCTGTCAAATTGCTGATAGCAGCTTCTGTTTTTCTTTCCACCTGTGTGTGTGTGTGTGTGTGTGTGTATATATATATATATATATATATATCTTTCTCTAGGTCAACATTTAAGAAAGTCATCTTCACATCCAATTGCTGAATTACTAACTTATATATAGACACTAAGGCTATCAAAACAAAAA